GGGGGTGTTCATGAGACATAATAACAGAATTACGTATACCTTTCTCTAACATTCGTTAAACTTCTAGACGAGATGCTCATACAGTTCAATAATTCCAATAAACTAAATCGATAATATTTTCATATTTTCATTTACGTACCTGAACAAAGCAATCGTGAAAATGTAATCTCAAAATGAAAGCAGCATTACGAGGATCAGAAAGACAAGCACATTCCATTTCTTTCCTCACAATTCCTTCTACAGAAGGGCATGTTTTCTTATAATAATCAAGACTTAAATGTGAATCACTAATTCCATTCAATTTGCTAAAACAAATGCCAATAAATACCAAAACCAAAAACTCAAAAATCACAATTTTTGATTGACAAAAATTAATAAAAGCCATTGATATGAATTGTTTTTTTTTTTTTGGGCTAGTGAGTAGTGAAGATGAAGAATATACAAAATATGGTTAATATTATCACTTCATATATAGTATATATTATATAAGAAAATGAAGTTAACTTAGGATTTTGGTTAAAGTGATTATTTATTTTTGTCTTATGTTTAAAAAATTTTTATTAGTCAATAGAAGATGTAACTAATATTGTTGGTTAAGTTAGGTGAGTGATCTCAAACCAAATATTACCAAATAATATGATATAAAAATCAAAGGTTTTGTGTGTGTTTTTAAGGAGAGTTTTGTACGCAAATGTTAAATGCAAGTGACCAAACAAATATTTTTGTGTCTTTTTTCCAATAACTTTATTTACCATGTTTGAATAATTTAATTATTTTGTTGACATTTAGAAAAGGTCAAAAATATATTTAATTGTTACTTCAATTAATTGAACATAATAATTTTGTTAACAAGTACAAGAAATATATGTTGCTTCTAGGTCTTGAGTTTCATTGATTATGTAAAATATTTTTTACTCTATCAGATAAGTTGAATAGATACTAGTAATCATTTATCGTATATATTCATTTATTACTTCTTTTTTCCGATTTCAACCAACATTCTCCAAGATGGGGTAAAAGTTGCTTATATTTTACCTTTTTTAGATTCCACTTACGAGATCACACTGGATATTGTTGTTGTATTTTCCAAACAACAATAATCCAAGTGTGATATAATAAATCACTCTACCTTCCCCAGATCCAACTGGTATGTTGTTGTTATTGTATTTTCCAATATATACCCTTACTGTTATGAAAGCGGGTCATATATACCCTTATTGTTATGAAAGTGGCTCATATAAACTGGTTTTTTTTTGTTCTTCACCCAGTGTATGAAGCCCCCGCATTGAAGCTCCGACTAAATTTCAATCACGCACTGCAGCGCCATTCGGGGGTGACGGTCCCAATAAGATTTTCTCCATACCCAAGACTTGAAATCAAGACCTCTAATTAAAGATGAACGTCCCACCATAAGGAGGTTGAACAGAAAAATAGTCATATATAGTATTTGATTTTGATTACAAAATCTAATTAATCTGATTTTTGAATTTGTTTATTCCAAGGTTCTAGATTTGAACTGTCATTAAGTGTTTTTAGTCCTGATTTTGGTAATTAAAGACTTCAAAGTCTATTTTAAGTAAAATGGAAATTTGCTCAAAGCAAAGAATCAATTAACACGATACTATTTTTCTTAGTTTAATTCATGTACAAGAATGGTTGATTTCTTCATATTTTGCTGTTTTTCTTCTCTACAAAAGCTAACTTTGATTAATCTGATTACAATCTTGTAGCTCAAGATAAAACTAACTACTAAAAATATTCAACAAAAATCATGATGAAAATGTAAAAATGAATGTTGATATCGATGATGGGGTAAAAATTTATCCGCGTTTGATGTTTACACCAATCCAAAAAATTGTATAACATGTCTTTCTATACACTCTTTATCACTAAAACTATAGTGATGATTCACTTTTCTGCAGAACTAAACTGTAAACTGTCAAACCACGCGATCTCTAAATAGTCTAAATAGTCGTAGAATTGTCTCCAGAAGATAGATGAACTGCATAACACAGTGATGATTCACTTTTTTGCAGCACGACGAAGAAAAAATAGAATTGTGCTGATTGTCTAACGACTGCATTGAGTACCAACTGCGTGAAGTTTAATAGCACCAGTCGATTCAACAATGATAAAAGTTCTCAATATAAGCTCAGGTTAACTAGGACAGAGGGAGTTCTTCGTTCGTGTTCCTCATCAAATAAAATGATGGAATGTATGCATCCACTAACAACTACAAGACTAGGTCCTTAGCGTGGTAGTAAATAATCGACACACAAGTTTACGTGAAAACCTCCTTGTTCAAGAGAGTAAAACCACAACCTATCTCACAGGACTTTTCAAACTGTTTTCACTAATCTTCTCAAGCAAAAGCAAAACACAGTTTACAACCACGAGATTAACCTCCTAATCTCAATACTAAGTAATACACCCTATTACTTACTGAGCCTAAGCAATGCATCCATTGCCCACTATACTAACTCTCACTAGTTAATATAGACTTTTGACTTGTAAAACACAAAGTTACCCCTAACTAAGTTGTTACAAGATTCAAAAAAGGTTTTGAAATGTTTCTATCAAGAGTGAAATGAATCCTACAATATAAGCACAAATACAAGCAAACAAAACATCAGCAGGTTCGGAAAGCAATTCTTCGATCCATCAGGTCCCTTGCTGTTTTGGGAAGCTTGATTTTTCTCTCTTTGAATGAATGAAAGATTTGTTGTTTTTCATGTTGATTAAATCAACCATAAAGAATTATTAACCGTTGGACAAACAACCTCGTCAGTTCTGATTGGTTCAGTACACTGGCGACTCCACCAACCTCTGACACGACAACTTTCCATCTGGATAGCATATTGTCCTGGACGTGAACACTCTGTAGAGGATCGGGTCCCTGCACTTGTGAGGATCATCAAAACAAAACACCTGAAAGCTTATCATAAAACATGATATGTTGTTCATAAAAAAGTAATAGGAACCTCTGATAGTGTTCACCTGAGGAGGAAAAAGTTTAGACATAGCCGTATAGCATTTCATAGTTGAAATTCGGAAGTTCAACCAACCTGTTTCTTCTCAGGGTCAATGCCAGAGACTTCCGTGGTGGAACTACTCTTTGGTAATTATCTTTGGAGAGTCAAGGTCCCCATCATGCCCTCATTGAAGTAGATGTCTGGTTCACGCACGAAAGTCACAGTAGTTGCAGAAGACCATTTCACATAAAGTTTGCCAATTCCTTTCCGTGCTATTGCTCTTAAGCTAAACTCCTGCCCACGTCGTAGCTTCACAATTATGATTCCCCTGTATCAAATAGAGCAAGATGGTAAAGATCCTCTCTGGATAGTTAGCACGTATAAACCAAGAATATGCAACACAAATCTCCGAAACAAGCGTATTAGAAGGAACATTGTTTTCTCATACTGTGACGAAAAAAAAGTTGTATAATCCTTCTTTAAACAGTACTCTTTAACACCTTCAAAAATACTCTCCTGTTGAGAAAAGAAACCCTATTTACAAAGTTCGTTTAGGAGCTTGATTGATATCTAAGCACACTTATTAGTTGAAAGACACAGCCGATAATTCAACAGAACTATAGGATATTTTCCTCCACATCTCAGAATGACATATCGAAGGTACCTTAATGAGCACTCTGCAGAAAACAGATCCACCAATTGGAAACCAGGTTCACCTTCACGCCAAACTGATCTACACAAAATTCTCGATAACACCAAGATTGTTTTGCAATCTATATCAAAAAGATGTCATGAAAAGGACCACCCCACAGCAAAATGATGCAATTCCTAGTTCACAGCTATAGAGAAAAGTATCAGATATTCAAAGACGCTCAAAGAAATCAACAAATCACTCATTCCAAATCCAAAAATGGCAACTTTATTACCTCTCTATCCCAACCTAACTACTACAATTTTTCACCTCGAATTGTTCGAACTGTAAATCATATGCAACTAAACCTTGTATCAATAAAGCTAAAATACCTCTCTACAACTAGTTCAAGTTAAAAGCAAAACACTTAAGTAAAATAGAGAATATTTTTACTGAGTGCATTGATGCCTGCAGGCACAAAGACATTTGAGAAGACGACGATAACACAACAAATGGTGAAATGCTTCCATCACTTATTAACCGAAGTTATTTCTATACTCGAAAGATTTATCAAAGCACTCTTAGTTTGCTAATAATATCATTATTTTTCAAAAACAAATTCTATATTCAACATCCAAACATATTTTCATTACTGCAGTCACATATTGCTCACAATTCAAATGGTAAGAAAATACTTTTCAAAGAACATTGATATAAATTCAACGAAGGCATTTTGAGTTTCTCACATTTACATAATTAACACAGACTTAGAGATGGGACCTTATTGCACACTATTGCATAGTAGAGAATCTAGAAAAGCTAGGCTAAATCATTCGTCTAGTATCCTCAAGATACCTTGACACATCAGACCGCGTTGACAAGGGAGTTTCAGCACTAGAACCTCTTTTATTGTCCTAAGTAGACTCCAATTTCTGACATGGTGGATTTCTTTTCGATTTCTGTAGTTCAGTTACTGGACTGAGGATAGATAGCTCACTTCCTGGCTTTTCACAAATCAACAGTTCTGATACTCTTTTGGCAATACTACACTTTGCTGCAGGGGAAACTCCGTGCTCGCCAATTATGGAATCCAGCACTGCTTCTGACAATTGTTTGTTCTCTATAACAGCATTCCCAACACAAGGAACTGAATCATCTTTAGAGAAGCTAATCTGGACTCGAACAAAAAAATATAGAAGAAACATCAATGAGCTTATAGATAAATGCAATCCATTTTTTTGGTGCACAAATATTGTCCAAAGGGTCCTAATCGATGATGCAACTTGCAAGTGCCTATTTTTTTTTGTTATCGTTCAATATAGTTGATTATACATACCGTCAATGATCCAAGCGGTGATTGAGTAAAAATGATGGAGGCACCAGGTGGGAAGGTTTCACTCTGGAAAACATTGAGGAACTTTTCAATGGCCTCCCTCTCTGCATCACTGTAGGTTCCTATTGCTTTCCAATAGGCAACACAATTTTCTGCCACCTTCTCAGAGTATTGCTTACCCGTCAAGGGCAAGATCATAGTCACTCGAGTGAATTTCTCAAAGGGACCTACCAGAGAGGAAAGATGAAAATATTCACAAACGTTAACTTTGATGGAAACAAATCTCTTGATTGTTTTAAGACCCTAAATACTTAGCATCTTATATGATAAACCTCAGCTTAATTCTCCTATTCAGCAAATACCTGTAACGATATCCCTGAAGAATTCGACTGAATGTTCCAACTCCTCAGAGCTTTTCCCTTTCCATTTATCAGCTAGAAATGGAATAGCACTCTCTTCCAAGTACACACCGATCGCAGTAAACTTCACAAATTTTCCTTCAATCTCCAAACCTCTATTCCCTACCACACACATTAAAATTAAATTCATTATACAACAACAACTAAACAAATTGGATTCTGTACTACGAGAATTCATCATCAATTAACAAGTTTTACACTAGCTACCAAACACACATAAATTTTTTTATTCAACCATACATTATAAAAAAAACAACAAAACCTAACCAAATTGAATTCTCTGCTACTCGAATTCATCATGAATTAACAAGTTTTACACCAGCTACCAAACACACATAATTTTTTCTATTCAACCATACATTATGAAAAAACAACGTAACCTAACCAAATTGAATTCTCTGCTACTCGAATTCATCATGAATTAACAAGTTTTACACCAGCTACCAAACACACATAATTTTTTCTATTCAACCATACATTATGAAAAAACAACGTAACCTAACCAAATTGAATTCTCTGCTACTCGAATTCATCATGAATTAACAAGTTTTACACCAGCTACCAAACACACATAATTTTTTCTATTCAACCATACATTATGAAAAAACAACGTAACCTAACCAAATTGAATTCTCTGCTACTCGAATTCATCATGAATTAACAAGTTTTACACCTAGCTACCAAACACACATAATTTTTTTCTAATTTCAACCATACATTATGAAAAAAACAACGTAACCTAACCAAATTGAATTCTCTGCTACTCGAATTCATCATGAATTAACAAGTTTTACACCTAGCTACCAAACACACATAATTTTTTTCTAATTTCAACCATACATTATGAAAAAAACAACGTAACCTAACCAAATTGAATTCTCTGCTACTCGAATTCATCATGAATTAACAAGTTTTACACCTAGCTACCAAACACACATAATTTTTTTCTAATTTCAACCATACATTATGAAAAAAACAACGTAACCTAACCAAATTGAATTCTCTGCTACTCGAATTCATCATGAATTAACAAGTTTTACACCTAGCTACCAAACACACATAATTTTTTTCTAATTTCAACCATACATTATGAAAAAAACAACGTAACCTAACCAAATTGAATTCTCTGCTACTCGAATTCATCATGAATTAACAAGTTTTACGCCAGCTAAACAAAAACTAACAAAGCCTGAACAAATTGAATTCTCTGCTACTCAAATTCATCATGAATTAACAAGTTTTACGCCGCCTACCAAACACATAAAAAATTATTCGATCATACATTATAAAAAATTTTTAACAAAACCTGCGCCGGCGAGGAAAAACGTATTGTTGGAGCCCGGAGGTTTCACCACTGTTGGTGGGAACACATAATTCTCAACCTGCAATTTTGTAACGAGCGCCATTTGAGATCTATTAGTATTTAACTTTTACACGGAACCCTTTATATAGAGGAAGATACAGTGGTATAATGGTAATAGTAGAGTGGATTCAAGGGTAGAATTGACCGACAATAATTTGGATTATGTTGTTAGGTACAGTTAACGGCTCACAGTTACTCACCAAATTGCCGCCAGTCAAACTATACTTTATAATGCTTACCCAACTTTCCTTAACTAATAAATATTCTCTCGTGTCTCGTTTTGTTTCTCGACAGTTAAATTAACTATTCTTTTTATTTTATAATTTTTTTGTCCGATAATATTTATCAATTATTCACTTTGCACTCTTCGATCGAAAAGAAAGAAGAACTTACTGTGACTCCAAATTTTTCCTCGCAGCATACAACTTTATTAGATAAAGATGATTGAAAATTCAATAAACAGAGCAAAGACAAAACAATATAAAGCCTTTGAAAAGTTGTTGTCATAGCCATTGCAGTTGTCCTTCTGATTCTAACACATTATATAAAGAAATCTAAAAAGTTGTAATGAATGTTTTTGTCTAAATTAGAAGAAATTTTGATAAATTTATATCATAATTAGAAATTTTCATTTTGGGAAAACAAAAATTAATAAACATGCTCTTTGAATTGGGTCGGGTGGGTTGGGAAAATCCAATAGGAAGACGCCACCTAATAAATAATAACAAGAACAATAATTTAAAAAGAGGATGTTAGTATATATATTTTAAAAAAAACAGTTAAGGATATTATTTGAATGATATTTTTTATTATTGCCTTTTGTGAAATAATAAATATAACTTGATAAGTAGTTCCATTTATTTTCTAGAAAATATAAAACTTTATTAAAGGAAAGGGCAAATATGGGAAAAAAATTCAAACAACCATTTTGAACTTTGAACAGTTCTATTATTTTGAATAATGAAAAAAGCTCAAAAATTCAGTTAATATGAAATAGAGGGAGTATTAATTGAATTTGTGAGGAAAAATATTTAAGGACATAATTTGAATGATATTTTTCACTATTGGCCTTGGTGAAATCATAAATATAACTTGGTAAATAGTTTAATTTATTTCCTAGAAAATATGAAACTTCATTTAAAGGAAAGGGCAACAATGGAAAAAAATTCAAACATCCATTTTGAACTTTAAATAATGAAAAACCCCCCCAAAATTCAGTTAATAACGAGTAAAGGGAGTATTAATTGAATTTCTAAGACAATGCACACATATTAAGAAAAACATTTAAGAACAGAAAGACCATGGAATACATTTTGTTCCTATTCATGGAGATTCCGTAACTATTTCAAAAATGAAAAGTTTAACACAATTGATTATCTTTTTCTTTTCGAAATTGAAAGTTACTACTAATTCATGATATGGCATATACAGAAATAAGTTTTGTGTATATCTGTGAATAGAAGAAGATGAACATGATGTGGTTGGTCTGATTCACATTCAAAAGTTAGGCCTTATTGAAACCAAATATATAAAGTATGTACTTTTAGCCCCTCTAGATTAGCTTGGCAAAAAAGTCAAATTAATCTTTATTCATACATAGGCTTCTTTGGAAACACCGGTATCACTAAACTATAGTTAGATTATAACTTAACTATGGTAAGTTAGTATTCAAGACAAGTTTTCGTAAAAATAGGCAAATCCCTATGTAACAATTCCCATATTGTTACTTAAGGATCGCTTGATAGAGTTTATAAGAATACTTGGCCTAGCTCTACCCCTCCTCAAGTACGTACTCTATGGTCAACCTCTCGTGCCTCCTTACTGGAGCATCCACACATCTCCTCTTCACATGGCTAAACCATCTCAACCTCACTCTTCACAAGCCGCATCTTATCCTCCGCGAGGGCCACTCCCACCTTGACCCGAATAACTTCAATCCTAATCTTATCCCTCTTGACTCCTGTTATGCCCTCACATCCATCTCAGCAACGTTACTACTCCTCTATCCCAACTCAACAACTATAATTCCCCCCTTAGAATTGTTCAAAATGTACTACATCATATATCCAACCAAAGCTTAATTATTTGATATCATCTCAACCATACTTTAACAAGTACCTTGTTGATATCAAATATCAATAAAGGTGAAACACCTCTCTACAACTAGTTCAGATTGAACACATAAATTAAAATAGAGAGTATTTTTATTGAGTACTTGATGCATACAGATGAAAACACAACAAACAGTGAAATGTTTCCATCACTTATTGGCATCAAGTTATTTTCCTACTCAAAATATTTATCGAAACACACTCTCAGAAGCTAGGCTAAATTATTCGTCTAGTATACTCAGCCAACCTTAACAACATCAAATCGAATCCTAAGTAGACTCCTCAGCATTGCTCTTTTCTAACATTTCTGATACTCTTTTAGCAAGACTACGCTTTGCTGCAGGGGAAACTCCGTTCTTGCCAATCATCGATTCCAGTACTGCTTCTGATAATGGTTTGTTCTCTACAACAGCATTCCCCGATCCAGGAACTGAATCATCATCAGAGAAGCTAATCTGGACTTATAGAAGTTTACATCAATGAGCTTACTTATAGATAAATAGTACAATCGACTTTTTGATGCATACATATAGTCCAAAGGATCTAATAACTCGATGATGCAACGTGCAAGTTCTTAGTTGATTATACATACCGTCAATGATCCAACCACTGATTGAGTAAAAAGGATGGAAGCACCAGATGAGAAGGTTTCACTCTGGAAAATATTGAGGAACTTTACGATAGCCAGTCTCTCTGCATCACTGTAAGTTCCTATTGATTTCATAATGGCAACACAATTTCCTGCCACCTTTTCGGAGAATTGCTTACCAGTCAAGGGCAAGAGCAACGTCACTCGCATGAATTTCTCAAACGGACCTAACATAGATAACAAACGTTCATAAACATTAACTTCGAGGGAGAGGATTGTCCAAGTCATACCTAAGTGTAGCTCAAACTCAGGGGGGGATGCAGAGTGTATAAAATTTGGTACTCACTAAATCATTTTCTTCTTTTATACCGTGTTACAAAGGGCATTGATCTATTACGTTCACATTTCAATCTTAGCACATACCTGTAACGATATCCCTGAAGAACTCAAGTGAATATGTCAACTCCTCAGAGCTTTTCCCTTTCCATTTAGCCGCGAGAAATGGAACAACATTCTCCTCCAAGTATACCCCTATCACACTGAACTTCACAAATTTCCCTTCAACCTCCAAACCTCTATGTCCTACAACACACATTAAAGTCATTAGATCCATAGATTATACAACAACTACTACGCCTCAGTCACAAACAAGTTTAACTCATCGTGAAATAACAAGTTTTAAGCTTACTTCCACCTTACCATAACCCTCTTCCTTTATCCCGTCTTAGAGCTGACAATGTATACAAGATCTAACATGCGGAGTTAAATATTCAACATGAATTAACAAGTTTTAGGAGCTATCAACCTACCACAACCCTCCTCCCTTACTCAGGACCGACAAAGTAAGCAAGATCACACTTTTTTATTTAATTGGGGACGGGGGAGGGGATTACAGTATTATTAGTCAAACAACTGAGTTATTAACATTCGCACAGGGCAAAGTTATTAGATTATAGACTAGTAGTCAAGCAACTGAGTTATTATCGTGAAAACAATCATAGTAAAGACTTACCATTATACATGCAACATATAGTTAATTTATCGATAGATTAAAAAAAAAAAATCATTGTTTGTGCAAAAATTAATTAAGAAAACCTGCTCCACCAAGGAAAAAGGTATTGTTGGAACTAGGAGGCTTCACCACTTTTGATGGGAACACATTATTCTCAACTTGCAATTTAGTAACACAAGCCATTGATTTCTACTTTACTTGATTTTCACTTTTTTCACATAATAACACTTAGAAGGAAAATGATTAAATAGAGGGAGAGACAGTGGTTTAATGGTAACAATGGAGTGGATTCAAGGGTAAAATTGACCAGCGATAATTTGAGGTTAGGTACAGCCTGATGCCACTTTTTTAAAAGGCGGGGGGCGCAATGAGGCGTAAGTCTTGAAACACGGAGCGTAAGGCAGTGTCATTTTCTATTATGAGAGTTGCTTTATTTTATTTATACATTTTAGAAAAAATCAATACAATATGTTATTTTATTTATACATTTTAGAAAAAATCAATACAATATGTTATTTTATTTATACATTTTAGAAAAAATCAATACAATATGTTATTTTATTTATACATTTTAGAAAAAATCAATACAATATGTTATTTTATTTATACATTTTAGAAAAAATCAATACAATATGTTATTTTATTTATACATTTTAGAAAAAATCAATACAATATGTTATTTTATTTATACATTTTAGAAAAAATCAATACAATATGTTATTTTATTTATACATTTTAGAAAAAATCAATACAATATGTTATTTTATTTATACATTTTAGAAAAAATCAATACAATATGTTATTTTATTTATACATTTTAGAAAAAATCAATACAATATGTTATTTTATTTATACATTTTAGAAAAAATCAATACAATATGTTATTTTATTTATACATTTTAGAAAAAATCAATACAATATGTTATTTTATTTATACATTTTAGAAAAAATCAATACAATATGTTATTTTATTTATACATTTTAGAAAAAATCAATACAATATGTTATTTTATTTATACATTTTAGAAAAAATCAATACAATATGTTATTTTATTTATACATTTTAGAAAAAATCAATACAATATGTAAACATGGTAGCATAAACTATAAAGTATAAATAGCATTACATCAACAAATAAAAAATATGATTTATACCAAAATGCTACAAGTCGAATACATACATATATAAAAAAAAAATTACCTTATATATACATTATAATTTTCCGACAAAAAAGATTCAAATGAACTCACCTGTTTAACTCCAGTTGAAACCAATACGTTTTGTTACATGTTGTTTTCCTCCTTTTCTGGATAAGCAACTGACTAGCCAAAGCTTTGATCATCACGGTTCAACTAGTATTTCTAAATAACTTTATTTTTACTTGAAGTAATTTGTTTTATCCTTTCACCATATAGATTTGGGAAAGGTGATACATACATAGCCTTATTCCTATCTCGTGAGGTGATGTGTACACAACCTTAACCTTCACGTGAGTCGTGAAGATAAAGAAACTATTTTTGATAGACTCTCAACTCAAAACAAAATCCATAAACGGGGAGTGATGATCAATTGCGAGATGAAATTCAACGAAAGTTCAGTATCAGTACAAGATGATGGACAAAAACATGTACTTAAACGAAACAGAAACAGTGCCCTACGTTTCCATGATCAGTTGAGGTAAGTTTCTAAAGGGAAAATGGGTAAGTAGTTCAAGGATGTCTTGTTACAGGAGATATATTAAACATGAACAGTTTTCGCGGTTTTTAACCAATGAGGTTTTAACCTCCACGCATATGAGCGCCCAGCTCTCCAAACTGATCGTCTGCTTCCACGGTGTCATCTGAAAGGCGTACTGCATCCAACTTCTGCTTCAGCACTTCTATTGCATTGAGCACCAATTGTGAAGCTTTGACTGCGCCAGTTGTCTCAACAGTGAAAATAAAACTATCTTCCTTGGCATGTATCTCTACAACTCCAGGTTTCCCCATGGCTTCAGCTTTCTTGAGCACCTCATCATCATAAGTATATGCCTCAGGATCAACGACAATAACCTGTAAAGATGAAGATGAAATTGGAGTGTCTCGAGTAGAGCTTCCCAGAGAATATATATGACAAACCAATAAAAGGAATTAATTGGAGATGTCTCGACTTGCTTCTCTCATTGACCTATCAATACATGTTTCCCTTGTCCTCAGACTAGGTTAAAAGTTGAGATCTCCCTCATTTTCCAGGCTTCAGTAGATTGACCACCGAGCAAGCCCAGAACAAACTAATTCTGTTTTTTTACCATGCTGAATGGAAAGGAAAACGTGCAACCCCTCATACAAATGATTATGACTTGTAGAGCTCTGATCGGAATTTATCGGAATTCTAGTAGAGTTAAAATCCCCATATAAACCTCTGTACGGAAGGCTTCAAAATCTTGTTTTGGTCCGATCTTCTAAATCTTGTTTTTGTTAGGCAAAATACCTTGAGTTGCAATCTTATTCTTCAGATCTTATATATCTAATGAAGTTATAGTTGACCAACAAACAGAAATACCACTAGAAGTCCTAACGCTGAAATTCCATCTCCTTTACAATCAAATGATGCAATTCAGTGTGTTCTTTTTCTTTCATTTCAAAAAGCAATCAATTAGCATTTCCTAAATAAGCTCATAGAAAGTCTATGTAATGAAAAAATCAATACACTATTAGACCCCTATTCAGATTTAGCAAAAACATGATGCTTCACGTGAAAATTTTTGCTTACTCGCATCTAAAATATCCAGAAATTTTAGTTTTAATTTTCCAGCATGCTTCAACTGTTTTCTGTCATTGCCCCTCAATTGGAACACACTAGAGTTCACCATATTGACAAGAGAAAACTTTAGAGTCAAAAGCCTATAGTACCCCGGACCGAACCACTAACGACGAACCAAGTCAACTTTTCAGGAAAGCTGGACGGAAGATGACTACTTAGGTTTGACATCCCCCTTAGTTTCTCTTGATTTTTCTTGCTATATTTTCTCTACCATAACAAGCTCAAAGCATCCCAGTGGAAGTTATCACCCTTACTCGCTTAGTCAGTTCAGCTGTGTGTACATATTAAATTTCTCCACAGATGGGTAATAATACATAACTGAAAGAAAATTGTTGTTTGTGACACATTAATAAACCTGCAATTCATGAACAGATTCCAGAAAACAAAAAAAAAGGAACTAAAAGGGTCACTCTATACATTAGTATGACCACTTTTACCAATCAGACGAAATTGTAAACAAAATGGTAATATGAAATAATCAATTCATGCTCCACAGTTATTTATTACCACATATGAGGACCTTGCTCATAATTTTCACACACAAGCAATCCAGGATAGCTGTATGAACCAATTAAGCCAAAGTACTCCCTCTATGCCAAATTAACTCGTCTACACATACTTTCTTTTCATCTGAAAGTGTCAAATTTCGTGAAAAGTGTAATTTTTTTCCTGCACTTGCCAAGGTTCAGGATCTATTCCCCAAGAGAAAAATATAGCTCATTTTAGTTCTATTTAACTTTACATGAATCTTTTGATATACTACTATAGAAAATGAATCATTTGAACTCACTTAAAAAATGGATCTTTTGATATACTCACTTTATAAAAATGAATCATTTGATACATTCACTTCATAAAAAATGGATCTTTTGATATACTCACTTTATAAAAATGAAATCATTTGATACACTCAATTCATAAAAAATGAATCTTTTGATATAGTCACTTTATAAAAAATGAAACTTTGACATACTCTCATGTACAGATAACTAAAACATGGAATCTCACTGCAAGTTAACTGGACAACTTTGGAGGATTTTCCTTAATTTAAAAGGGATCAAGAGGGTGATGCCAAGAGATACAGTTGACGAGTTGGAGTGCTGGAACAAATATAGCACTCAGTCAGAACAGAACGAAAGATGGAAGATTATCCCTGCTTGCATTTGGTGGACAGTTTGGAAAGAGAGAATCAAAGGTGTTTTGAAGACGATCATAGCTCTATCCAGAAACTGAAGATGAAGTGCCTAGCCCTTTTCTATTTTTGGTGTAAACATGAATATATGGAAGACATAGAATCTTTTATTGATGTTCTAGGATCTCTGTAAGTAAGTTATATCTCAGTACATCTTCCTATATTTCCTTGTAAGTATGGACAGCTGTAGTTTTTATGCAACAAATAGTTATACAAAAAATGTTACCTTCTCAAAAAAAAAAAAAAAAAAACATGGAATCTCACCATAAAGGCATAGATCCATATCGTATTGGGACATCTACTCCCACATAGAGGAATTCCAGGAGAGGTACTAGGATTTCCAACTATCATGCATTTCCCAGTTTCCTAGTCAAGTGAATCATTTATCAGTATACCATGAATGGCAGACTCTGAGCATGATAAGAATCTTAGAGATAATCTCAGGATAAATGGGACAGAGGGAGTGTTTCATTCATCACCATATAATGCATGACATGCTGTTCATTGAAAAAGTAATAGGAACCACACATAGTGCTGAACAGATAAGAGGAAAAGTTCAGGCATAGCAGTATAGCATTTTATAGCAATAAAACATATAAAGTACGAAGTTCGACCAACCTGTTTGTTCTCAGGATCAATGCCAAAGACTTTTGTGGGACTACTCTCAACTAATTCTGTTTTCTCCTCGAGAGTCAAAGATTCCATCATGTCCTCATTGATGTAGATCTCTGGTTCATACATGAAAGTCACAGTTGCTGCAGGTGACCATTTTGCGTGATCTTTGCCAATTCCTTTCCGTGCTATAGCTCTTAACCTTAACTCCTGTCCACGTCGTAGCTTCACAATTATGATTCCCCTGCATAAAATAGAGCAAGATCATAAATATCCTCTCAGGATAGTTAGCCTGTATAAACCAAGGCATTTCTGCACCACAAATCTCCAAATAAGCATATTAGAAATAACACTACTTTCTTATATTAGCTGTGACAAAAAGGGCCGAGTAAGATAAACTAAAATCCTTCTTCATATGGTATTCACCTTCAAAACTACTGTTGTTTCGATAAAACAGAAGACCCTATTTACTAAGTTCACTAGGAGCTTGATTGATATCTAATCACTTTTTCTCGAAATCAACAGAATTATGGGATGTTCTTCTGCACTTCATGAAATGATATATCAAAGGCACCTTAATGTGCATCTGCAGAAAAAAAAGATTCACCAATTGGAACCAGGATCATGTCAACCCTTTGTAATTTCATTCAAACACAAAAAAATTTATAATCACCAAGACCGGTCTACAATCTCTATAAGAAAAGATGAAAACATAAGAAGAACTGACCCACAGCAGAATGATGCAATTCGTCATTGGCAGTTATAGAGATAAAAATACCCAGATATACAAAAAGACCAAAAAAAAATCAACAAATGACTCATTCCAAATCCTAAAAATGACAACTTCACTACTTTGTCCCAACTTAACTATAATTTGTCACCATCGAACTATAACTTAATCATTCTAAGCATCTTGACCCTAAATTAATAACTACCTTGTATCATTTCCCAATCTTTTGAAAGAGTAAAAGTTCATAATACCTCCCTATAATTGGTTAGGGTTAAGAACAACTCAAGGACAAACAGAGAGCGTATTTCTATTGAATGCTTAATGCCTGCACGCACAAAGTTATTAGAGAATATGACAGCAACAGCAACAACCCCCCCCCCCCCCCCCACGCCCGCT